CACTTTCTTCCGATACTAGTGATTTACAGGCCATGAGACCTAACTGCTACTCATGTCTTCCTTTCTTGAGTTTAAAAAAAAAGTTTTTATTGTGAACTGAGTGATAGTTTACGTGGGAGAACATGGGCTTCACATCATTCTTTCATGGCAATGATTACAATCTCCTCTGTGCATCATCATGTAACAGTATTTGCGTCTAGTCCCTCTCTTTTTTTTGGGGGGGGTGGGGTGGGGGACGTGAGGATTTACACAGAAACACTCAGGAATATATAATTTAAACAACCAAAGGGCACATTCTGCAAGCCTGTCTCCTGGCTGCCAGCACCCAATCCCTCTTTCCATGAGTCCAGAGTCCTCACCTCTGTTTCCATCTCTGGTGTTGCTGCTTCTGTGGATAGCACAGAATAGCATTCTGCTTGTGCTCTTCTCCCTTGATGGTCCCAACATCCTGTTTCTGGACTTTAAGATTAACTGTGCCTCCATCTTTATTACAAAATCTCTATCTACCACCTTTACAGTTGTAACAATTTCAATTAGTCGTGATAACAGTTACTCACTATTGAATCACAAGAATCCTATCCCCATCTCCTTTCACCAGACCCATTTAGACAAGATTAAAACTATTCAGTGGGGACTCTTATCTTCCCAGGCACACTCTCAAAACTAAAGTCCCTCTTGAAAACTTGTAAGCCAGTTACTTTGTGCCTTTATCGCCCCTTCATTTTAGGTAGCCAATGTCTAAGTTGCCTGCCCTTAGCTATGCCGTATGCTTGATGTGAAGACTCCTTTTCCCTCAGTTAGTTTTTGATTTTGACTTGGTCCCTTTAGTTCTAAAATTAGAGTTATATTTAAGGGTTAAAGCACTGTTTCCTGAAAGTACAATCCACCTGGGCAGATGAGGCATTATGCATGACTCTGGGTAGGCATGGGATACAGGACAGAGGCCTAGGTAAAGCCTGGCACAGGGTACTCAAGGGAACCATAGATGTTTTTAAGTCAGCATTATGGTACTCTTATTGGAGCTTTGGCTAAATGTCAGTTTGCTTCTCTCTTTATTTAGCGGCTATCACGAAACTCACCCAAAAGCTTTGCTTTTGTGTCCTGACTGAGCTGGATGTGACTGAAGAAAAAGGGGTTGAGAGAAAGACTGACTAGAGACCAGAGGTGACTTTCCCTGGCCATTGGTGCGAGTCATCTGTGGAAGTCCAGATGATAAGACTGTGGGGCCTGTGAGAGTCACCTCACCAGAGCTCAACCTTCAACTAAAGTAACCTATTCACCCAGGGTATGAAGGGTTCAGGGCTGATGGCCTGCCCTGGTGGCTTCCTCACTGGTAAGGAATGGAAGGAGACTCAGAGCCTGGGATCACATTGAAGGTTGGGACTTGGGGGTGGGGGGTGGGGATGGGCTGAGGGATTGGTGAGGGGGGTAATAATAGTCTTTTAATTCTTTTTCTGATAATTGCAGCCTTCACATGTGGGGAGGTGCATTGGGGGGAAGAGGGAAGTTAACAGCTGTGATTGATGAGTTTGATAATCTCTATAGAAGAGCTGCTTTATGGAAAGTTTTCTTTCACTTTAGCGGTCTGAAGTGCTACCATTTCTTCAAAGCCCTTCCTGTATTCCATTATTTATTGATGTTATTTAATCCAGAGCATCAATTCTAGCAAAGCATTGGTACTCAGTCACCTACAGGATGCAAAAGTCAAATTGTACTTAAAATCCCCAATGCCAAGTCCCTCTGCCCTCAGAGATACCTCTGTGTGGTCAGACTCTGGTCACAGATTTATGCTCCATTTAGCAGTCTTATGTTGAGTCTTACCTGAAAAAGTGAACTTGAAATTTTTTACTTATGTACCAGTTACACTTTAGCATATAGACAAATCACATGTTACAAGCACCTGGGTCAGGTCAAGCAAGGACAGATGAAGAAATTAATGAGTTAGAAGTCTGAGAATACAGGCATACCTCGAAGATGCTGCAGGTTTGGTTTCAGACCGCTGCAATACAGCAGTTGTCGCAATGAAGGGAGTAACTCAAATGTTTTGGTTTCCCAGTGCCTAGAATTATGTTTACACTATACTGTAGTCTATTAAGTGTGCAATAGCATTTTGAAAAGGTTTGAAATACTGTGAGAATTACCAGAAGGTGAAGTGAGCACATGCGGTTGGAACAGTGGCACTGAGCAGACTTGCTAGATGCCGCATTGCCACAAAGATTCAATTTGTAAACAGCGCAATAAAAACAAAGCGCAATAAATTGAGGTATGCCTGTACTGCTAATTTTAAAGGATGATCCTTTATTTTACTTGATCCTAGGTTTTTCAGTTCATAGTAAATCTATGGGTTTATGGTATGAATTATGAGAGACAGAAACTCTTCTGGAATTTGGGTAGACCACCTGAATTCTTTTAAATATCAGTAGCTTGGACCAAGCCACCAAATAGCTTGTTCCTTTCTGCAAGGGCCAGTGCGAGGGACTGCTGTGCAGACCTGAGCATGCTCATCCTGGTGCAATAAGTTGTCATTGTTTTTTCTGAAAGCCTCACAGCAGTCTGCACCCTCCTCCTCTTCTGTCCCTAGCCCCAGTCCTTGTTTACACTGAACTAATGTGTGCGCCTCCTCACCCCCTGAGGTCTGGTGGGGTGGCTGTCTCAGGAAACTTGGGTACTTTGGGGACTTCTGTTTTCTCCCTGTGGAGATCAGTAAAGACTGGAAAAAAAAGGCTGCTTCTACCTCAGTCTGGTTCTTCAGCAAACTGCTAGTGGATGCAACTAACTGGTGTTCAGGCTGGGCTTTAGCACTCAGGTCATCCAAAGCAGCAGGTTTGACCTGATGGATCGTCCCTCGTGGGAATCAGGCTGAACTGCATTGTACAGCCCTCCTGAGATGCTCCAAGGTAGTCATCTTGGGCCTAAGAGAACCTGCTGGTTGGCAAGCCTCATGTTCTTAGGTTTTGGAATTGGTCAACAGAAAAGATAAGAACCATGAGCCAATCTCCCTTTAAGATCATTCTCCTTTACCAAAAACTGGTCCCTGCCACAGACTAAGGAGTAAACCCTGGTGACATCTTTGCTCAATCCGTCCACATTGCTGGATGGGGAGACCTCCCTTCAGGCTATGCTGCATGCAGCCCTCTCCCAGACTCCCTACAGCACTCCAGCTTCTTGGTAGAATTATTTTCTGTTAATCTCTGAAATCCTTCTCCTGGGGTGCTAATCACTTTTGCATTGGGTACGCTTATGAAATTGTCAGCATTTTAATGTTGGCAAAGTTTAACGAGTTCATAAACAATAGTGAGCACCTGCCAGTGGTACAGAGTGGTTTTTTATTCTTCATTTCTATGCTTACAGGAGGACACAAAGTTAAGGCAAGGGCTGGTATTAGACATGGAAGTTGCTATTACTTGCAACACTGAATTGTACCTTTGTGGATACGTAGGATGGGAAACCAAAGATCTTCCTTGGTTTAATTAGCCACAAAAGCCTAATAAGCCTAAGTATGTTGTCATTAAGTGCCATTGACTCCATTCCGACTCATAGTGACCCTATATATAGGGTTTCTGAGGAGTAGCTGGTGAGCCTGAACCGTCAACCTTTCGGTTTCAAAAGACCTTGTAGTCCAGCGCATTAACCCACAGCACCACACCAGAACTCCGACCTAAATATAGATAGAACTTATTTTTAGTATTGCAGGTTAGTAACTTCATGTAGATAGGAACTAATGCAGGTAAAGAAGTACAAAATGGACATCAAGTATAGGAATACACAGATGAAATGGAAGAGTAGAAATGCTTGGCACTATCATCAAAGGTTTTCCTAGATCTGCCCTATCCATGCAGTAGCCACTAGCCACATGTAGCTAGTTAAATTAAAATATAAAAAAAATTAATTCCTTCTTACTCAGACTGATCAGTTTCAAGTGCCCGACCCCTACATGTGACTATTGACTACTATTACACAGGACAGACACAGAATATTTTCATCACTGCAGGAAGTCCCTACTGGGCAATGAATGTTACACAAGTCAAACAGAGTTAAGGCAGCTGTGGTTGGAAAAGGAGGACAGTAAGTTTGCTTACAAAAGATACAGATTTTAGTAACATACTGGTTTTGTTTAAATTGTATTAGATTGTGTTTAGTGAGTACTGTGAATAGTGAGCATTTCTCAATGGAAAATCAAGTTCAGGATGTGCTTGCTTTTTCCTTACTTGCCTTTAGTCCTTGATGTCAAAGGTCAATTCCTTACTTATTTGGGGGGCTACAGGGTGCCTTGAGAAAATCATACAGTTGAGAGAACTTTAAAGACTTAAAAAATAAATGACTTGCTCTATGTTTAAAGTCAGTCTTTATACACACTTATATCACATTTATACACACACCATTCCTTGACACCACTGCCCAAGGAAGAATGCAATCTTTACAGCCATTATCAGAGACAAGAGGAAAACAGGACCGCTGTTACTTAAGCCCTCCCACAGCAGGGCAGGTTCTACTTTCTACTCTTAGGCCATTACTCTCCGGTCTACACTGCTACAAGGGGTCTACTGTATCCCTTTCAGAGTCTCACCATTAAAAGGATGCTTTATTGCATACAAGTAGCCTGGCAACATAGCTAGTATGGGAGAGCCGAACTTTACTGGTGATGAAAGTCAAAGGCCCTTCTTCTATGACTGGCTCAGAGTAAGAGAAATATAAAAGCATCTAGTCCTCAGGGAAAATGCCTGGATCATGAAGCCAAAGGAAGCTTCATTTTTTACAGCATTAAAAAAAAAAAAAACACACCACTTTTGATTGAGGCAAAGGGACTCTACTGTTAGTAGGAAAGACTCACTCCCTTAGCATAGTCTTTACTGTGGAGAGATGGCGCTGTTAGCTATACTTATCCCATATGCACGTTAACTAGAAAACCTGAGAAGATGTCACCAGGGCAGCTAATGCTGTAGTTGCTGTAGTCACAGAGCCAAGGTCTGTGGTAGAACCTCATGGCTGTCATTGGGTCTTCAGTCTGAATCCAGGGAACTCTCATAGCCGAACTCCTTCTGCACATCTAAAGGGTATTTGCTCCACACCTGTGGTCTGTGACTGCCTCTTTCTTCTTCACTGAGGCCGTCATATTCATCAGAGCCTAGAATGAGATACCAGGAGTGGGCTTGCTGTTGTATGATTTTCTAGGTTACCATGAGAGCTCCCCATTATTAAATACTAGTTCAATAAAGAAAATCTAGAAAACAAACACTCCCAAATTTTCTATTAACCATTCCTCTCATCAGATACCAGGAAATTCTTTTTATTGGCTATTTGAAGAGTCATCTAAAGGACTGTGCTGTCCAAGTACCCACCCTTTCTCTTCTCCCAGGTCCCATAGCTGTGTTGCCCTTTTCTCCAAATAGTCACAACTCAGCAATGACTTGGTTAGAAAACTGACATATGGAAACCCAAGGCCTTCTATACCTAGTGCTTGGGTAACTGTGGTCACAGACTGACCAGCTGGTCCATCTAGTCCTTTCTTGACTAAAATAGGGAAAGGGAGACTGAGCTAGATGTTTCACCTACTCCCAACCATTAAATTGGTGTAAGAGTCTCATTTTCTGAGGAAACTAAGGCTCAGTGAGGTGAAGTAACTTGTCCAAGACTAGGCAGTGACAGAACTAAAGATTTGAACCCAAGCCTAAATGAGATTAACATTAAATCTTCATGTCCCCTGAACACTGGTCCTTCAGGGTCCTACAACTCCAGTGACTTTTGTTGGTGCTCAACGGCAGAGAGAAACAGCTAGGCAAGATGTCTCTGACAACTGTGCTCACACCTCAGCCTTGGATCCCACCTGCCCCTTCCCATTTGGAGCTGTCCGCACCTCTGGAGTCTTCTTCTTCTTCTTCTTCACTGCTCTTCTCCTCTGGATACTCATTGCGCCAATTATTCTCGCTGTTTTCATCATCTTCATCTTCATAAACATCCTCAGGTTGCTGGTCGTCATTTACCTGCACATCTCAACACAAACATGAATGTAGGTCAAAATAGCTTAGGCTATGTTCTTTGAGGGAGGGTATTAGCAGACTAGTTTTGGGAGGTGTCATTTAAGGATGCAATGAGGAAAAAAAGGCAGGCTAGGAGTTAGTTGGAGCACAAAAAGCTATTGTAGTTTAGAGGCTGAGAGGAAGGAAGGTAGCCCTACCCTACTCAGAATTCCTGGTAAGAGACTGAACTCCATCAGAAGGGGATTCACCAGGTGGGGGAAGCAGTGGCTCTGAACAGGTAATTATTATCTTAAGCTCCTGAGGGGCAGTCAGGTAAAAGATGCCAAGGTCAGAAACAAAACCAAAGGTGATGGGTACAGGAAGACAGGAGAAGCGGCTCTGCAGTGGACCCAGATGGGTGCCTGAGTGGCCACGTGAGGGAAAAGGTGCTTCTCTCACAAGAATGACACTTCACTTTTGGCATCAAACATTTTAGAATTTGTTTTCAAACAATACCAGGAAGATAGCTTTTTTCATCCAAGGTTTTCACCATTTTTAATACACAAGTTTTAAAAAAGTGTTGTTATTCATGTTAAGTTTTGGTTTGTCTTTGTTGTATTATAAGCCCCCATACATTTTTTTTCCCCTTCCTGAAACTGGGTAGATACAAACAATAAAATGTTGCAAACCTTGTAAAAGAATCATTATGAGTAAAAATTAGAATGTAGCCTATCTTTCCCAAAATTCCCTACATCAACCCCAGATTCCTAAAAGGCATTTAAAATAAATTTTCCCTTTTAAGCATGGATAAGAAGAACTAAGAGCACTCAATCTAAGTGGAGCTCAGGGAGACAGAGGTGCCCTGCATGGAGAATGAGCATAGGCTGCCTCATGCCTCCTCTTCATGGGCTCCCTTACCAGCTCCCATTCTTGGCTGTAGGGCTGCACAGAGAGGATATTCTCAATCCACCCTGGAGTGGCCATTTCCAAGTAGTAAATGTCATACACATAGTCGCCATCCTTCACTTCCTCTCGGTGCCCAACTCCTGGTCCCTCCTCAGAGATGGTCAAACGTTCACGGATCAGCTGTGTGGAATTGCAGAGGATCACATCTGGGTCAGACACCTGTAAAGAAAACACAGCCTCAAAAGTGTAATGTTCCAAGGAAAGACTCTGTACAACTCTCTCTGTTGGATTCAAAATGCTTACCCCTTTGAACTACTAGTGTCCTCTATGTTAGCTAAAAATTAAAAAGGATAATGTGAATCTCAGTAAAATTAATGACTATAAGATAGCCTCCTACTCTTTTTGTGTTTGGCTGCCACAAAGGACTATCCTGGAGGGCCAGTAGAGCTTGCACCCAAGGTCTGCATCAGACCTGCTTCAATGGACCTTTTCTGAGCTCCTTTGGAAGGATCTTCTCCTCTTGGGGACTCACAACAGAGCCTCTAGGGCTGATCCCCAAGTGGGTCTGTACATGGGGGCATCAAAAAGCTTAAAGAATACACCACTATCTTTTAATTAAATTTTTCCATGCATGTTTTAAAGCCCCCTCGTATTATGTGTCACCCCCTATATTGGGCCACTGGTGATTACTGGACTCTGGTTATCACTACCAGCCTTCACCATCTGGCTTTCTGTCCATTAACATTCTGGCATTTGCTTAGGAAAGGAAGTGGACTCAACTATAATATTTGCTGGAATGATGGACTGCCCCAGACTGGAAATGGCCCAGGTATATCCAGGGTCTTGGTAGCACAGGCCAGTTTGGGAACCAGAGAGACATAATGCAAATGACACCTTTTAACATGTTAATTATAAGAGGCTGCCCAGCTTGAACCAGACACTGCATAAGGATGTAGGAGGTGTCCATGGCCCCCAGACAGGGGAGAACAAAAGTTCTACATCACGTATAGGCTAACGGGAATTCTGCCCGACCACAAAGTCACAGACAAAACCCCAAAAATACAACTAGAGAATTTTTAGAAGTTTCTTGACCAACCTCAAAACTGTTTATGGGGTAAAGTCTGGCTGTATCTCACAAGCCTCCAATCCTGCAAATTATGCAGCCATTAGAATATTTACACAGACTAGTAATAGAGAAAAAGGCCAGGGATACTGAATCAGATACTCAGAAGGAAATAAACCAGTTTTACTCCAGTTACCTCATAAGAGTTTTGGTGAGGATTAAAAGAGTTAAATCAAAGAAAATGCTTAAGGACAGTGCTTGACAACATTCAGTACTTAGCAAACAAACAGTAGTTTTGCTAACAAGGTTTGCTTCTGTTGAATTATTCCTAGGATAGAAATCTTGTGGGTGGGATTACTGAATAAAAAGAACTCAACTTTAATTTCATAATTTCCTATTGTTGGTAAGTGGTCTGACTCCTACTCACACTGTGTAGGGTTTCAAGGAGTGGCTGATGATTAGCATTCCACTGCTTACCCCATAGAGCCATACCAGGACTCCAGATTTCCTATTAAATTTATTTGTCTAAAACTTCTACATTGTTTTTCAAAAGGTTTGCTTCAATTTAAGCATTCCAATCATGTATATTTTAATCTGAGTCTTGCCAGCAGTGTTATAAACTGCCTTTTCCCTTCCAGTTTGTTGTTGTTGTTAAGTGCTGTCAAGTCGGTTCCAACCCATAGTGACTCTGTATAGGGTTTTCCAGGAGCAGCTGGTGAGCTTGAACTGCCTACCCTGCACTTCAAACGGCTTTGAAGTCTGACGCATTATTCCACAGCGCCACACCAGGAGACCCTGCCAGTTTAGTAGGCATAAAAAAACATCAATTACTCTGCAAACATGTTTATACTGCTACTTTGGAAAAAAAAAAAATCTGTTCATATCCTTTATCAATGTATCTACTAAGTTTTCTAATAAAATTTAATGAGCTACTGATTTGATTCTACTGAACAATGGTTTGATTATGAAAACTTATAACTCATGAATCAGTCTGGAATTAATTTTGGTAAAAGCTCTTCAGGTATATATACTACCACCATGATTAAATATTTTATGCCTGTTCTGATTTATTTTGAATTAAAATTTCACTTTAAATTCCAAAGAGTATTAAAGAAGTAAATTTTATGTTACTGTTTACCCAAAAACAAAAACAAAAAACACACCCACTAACAGAAAGCATACCTTTGGTTGAAAACTTTGTTTGTGTGGTCTTACTAGGTATCACGTTGTTAAGTGCCATTTAGTAAGCTCTGACTCAGCGACCCTGTGTAGGGTTTCTGAAGAGCAGCTGGTAAGTCTGAAGCACTGACCTTGCAGTCCAGCACATTAACCTACAGTGCCCCACTAGGACTCCACTGGGAATCATGAACAGACTTGGAAGTGATATACAAATATATTCTAAGTATATTTAAATATAAAAGTAGAAAAAGTCTGCATTAAATCCAAGAAGACTTGCATACTAAACCTGTATCTGCCTCAAACTTGATATGCTAACTAGGACTAGTTCCTTAACCTCTCTCTTTGATCAGTGTTCCAATCTACTCTCTCCTTTGCTTAAAACTTTCCAGTCTAGTGATTCTCCTTTTAAGGTGAAAGGCAATGCCCTCACAAGTACCTACAAGGTTCAGCAGGTACCCTTTCCACCCATCCCTTACAGTAGTAACTTGCAGTTTGTTGGATGCCAGGCACAACTGATTTCCTTGCATACAGCAGGCAAACCCAGCTTCAAGGTCTGTGCCTGGCATGCCTGACCTCTTTGCTTCTGTTAGTGCTGGAGAGTCTGTTCTGATTCAGAGCGACTCTATCGGCTTTCCAAGGAATGGCTGTTAGGTCTGAACCCACAACCCTTAGCAGTCCAGAGGTTATACTCCAACCACACCAGGCCCTGCCCCCCAGATAGCCACAGTGGTCTCCCACTCACCTCATTCAAGTCTTTACTCAAATGGCGTTTTCTCAGGCTGCCTTCCTTGACCAGACTATTTAAAAATGACATCACCTTTTCCCACTGTTTTATTCCCTGACTCTTATCACCAGCTGAAACGGAATTTACTTGTACTCTTTTTGTTTCTCTGACTGTTAAATCCTCAGGAAAGGGATTGCTGTACATTTTGTTTACTGCTATAACCACCTACGTAACCGAAGAGCAATGTTTGGCACATAGTGGGCACTCAGTATACATTACAGAACGAGACCATCACGCTGGATGGATCATCCGTTCCTCAGAGGAATTCGTGTGTTGCCTCTTGAGCATGTTCTAGACTCCAGAGAAGCCCTGCGCCCGCCTCCAAGCCTGTACTTGTTATGTGCCGTGGAGTCAGTTCCGACTCATAGCGACCCTGTACTGGGTTTCCGAGGCTGTAAATCTTTACGGGAGCAGAACGCCTCATCTTTCTCCCGCGGAACAGCTGGTAGTTTCGAACTGCTGACCTTGCGGTTCGCAGGCCGATTCGTAACCACTCTGCTACCAGAGCTCCTTAAGCCTGTACTTACTTGGCAGGAATCTGTGGCAGTGGCCTCTGGGTCTCCCTCCTCGTGGACTAAGTCGAAGAGCTGGAAGCCTGTGTCGCTGGCAGCTTCTGGTTTCTCCGGCTCGTCCTCCGACTCTTGGAAGCCCAAGATAGTTCCCGAGGATCGGCGGCTGGAGACCACCCGATAGCGGCCTTCTTGCCGGATCTCCTGGGCAGTCGCGCGGAGATCACGGCGGATGCGCTGCTGGCAGCCTCCGGACGGACGCAGGACGGCCCGCACAAGTGGCTGGAAAGGCTCCTCCTAGGGTACCGCAAGGGAAGGAGATAGCATAAATAGGGGTTCCTGAAGGGTTTAGGAGTCCGGCTTCACCTCACCTGAGCCCCAAGAAACTCCGCACAAGCTACATCCTATGACCAATACCTGGGATCGCACGGTGGCCACCAGCTGGAAGACATTATTCTCCGCCTCTCTCGGCAGACCCTGAGGGGGCGTCCTCTGAGGCTCTGATTCAACTGTGGGACCCCGCAACCGTTTACAGGCGAGGACGAGCGCCTCAGCGGGCTCCGCAGTGCGCTTCCGCTTCACTCGGAGCACAGCAGTCCGGCCAGCCTCCATATCACTTCCGCGGAGCATTGTGGGAGCGCGTCGGGTGGGATGGGAGAGTCTTCAAGTTCCGCTTCCAGGCTCCTCCCTTCAGTCGCGCCGTGGGCTCAGGGAGGCTTCGCCTCCGCACATTGGTCTTGGTAAGATGGCGTTGGTCTGGCGTTGTGACAGAGATGAACCAAGCGGGTGAGGCGCTGGGTGGGTTCTGAGGAGCGTCTGGATACCTGTCCTCAACTTCAGAGGTTCGGTGGAAGGTCTCAGTGTGGGATTCTCGGGCGCCGGGGTACGCGTCTGTTTCAGATTCTGGAGGATCTTCCCAGAGCCCACGTGGGGCGGCTCAGAGGGTCATGGTCGTCAGGAGAGCGGGGTCTCTGGCCAGCCCTGTCTGTGATGCCCACCTACCTGGTTGCGGCTCCCTCGACCCCGGGCAAAGCAGATCCTCGGGGACCAGAATCAAGTATTCTAACTCATACTTGGCGCCTCCCTTCCGAGACGGACCAGGACCGTCATTGAAGGAAGCAGCAGCCTTCGCACTCCTAATTGAGCATGGTTTTCTGACTCAGGGGAACTATTGATGGGCTCACCTTCCGCTGTCACTGGGTTCTGAGTAGTTGGAAACCAGTCTTTACCACGCACTAGCCAGTGTGGTCTTAGCAATTAATTATTACCCTTGGCGACTCCTACTGCACCTAAAACGTAGCCCACACATACTTCTGAAACCAACAAGGCCCTGTGTGATCTGCAAATGCTCATCTCTTATCTATCATTTATTCTGCTCGAAGTGCTTCAGTCACACGGCTTTTGGCATTTCTACATATGCACCTAATTCTTTATACATTGAGGAAAATTTTGGGTAAGGAAATATTTGTACAAGCGCCACTCTTCCCCAGCTTATCTTTTTTTTTTTTTTTTTTAATTGTGAACTGAGTGATAGTTTACATGGGAGAGCATCAGCTTTATACCATCGTCTAATTGCAATGATTACAATCTCCTCTGCATCATCATTCAACAGTATTTGCTTCCATTCCCTCTGTTTTTCTTTCCTTTTTTTTGATGGGGAGGTGGGGAGATATACACAAAAGCACTCAGGAATATATAATAATTTAAACAACCAAAGGGCACATTCTGCAAGCCTGCCTCCTGGCCGCCAGCACTCATTCCCTCTCTTTCCATGAGTCCTCAGCTGCTCCCTCTCTTCATGTCCCCATCTCTGCCTCCATCTCTGGTGTCCCTGCTTCTCTGGATAGGGTCCTGCATTCCGCTTGTGCTCTGCTCCCTTAATGGTCCTAGGGTTCTCTGTTTCTGGACTGTAAGAGTAACTACTCCCCGGTTTTTGTTACAATACTTCTACCTTTACAATTGTGACAGTTGCAGTTAGTCATGATAACAATTACTGTTGAATCATAGGAATTGTATCCTTATCTCTTTTTACCAGATCTGAGTAGACAAGATGAAAATTATTCAGTGGGGACGCTATCTTCCCCAGTGCACTCTTAAACTAAACTCCCTCTTGACAACTTGTAAGCCAGTCACTTCGTGCCTTTATCGCCCCCTCATTTTAGGTAGCCAAGGTCTAAGCTGACCGCCCCTATCTACCCTGTATACAGAGGGGATAGGATTAATAATTGATGTGAAAACTCCTTCCCTTGCGGTGGGTATTTTGAGCTACTACATCCATAAATGTAGGTCAAGTTCATCAAATTATAGCAATTTATCCTCGTTTCCTTTATCAAAAGTTATTTTCTTTGATATAGTCCACTAGTTGAGTCCTGGTATGGCGCTGTGGATTAATGCGCCAGACTGCAAAGCCATTTAAACTGCAGGTCGGCAGTTCAAACTTACCAGCTGCTCCTCGGAAACCCTATACAGGGTCGCTGTGGGTCGGAACTGACTCGATGGCACTTCACAACAAGTTGAGTACTGATTATCAAGCCATCGAGGCTAGGTCATATGGGTACAATCTGCAAGTTTGTGTGTTCTTGTGCATCTCCCCTCACTTCACATAAGCTGGATGCTTCACTCTCAGCCTTATCCCTCCGTGGCTTTGTCCTTGTCCTTGGGCTCAGGAGTTCCCAGGTCTTAACACACTTCGGAACAACCAGACCTTTTCTCTCTCATCTCCAGGTCAACATGAGTGTATGGAATGTGGTTGAACTCAGCCCATTTCTCCATTGCTGCCTTTCCCCCTCTTCTACTCCCAAGTAGACCACTGTGGTCGCCAGCAAGCTTACATGCCTACTCATGTGTTCCCTTTGAGTTTCATTATTGGAGCAGGGTTTGTCCTGAAGGGACTTGATTGCTTGCTCCCCAGCTTATCTTGTAGGTCTCAACTTAAATTACACGTTTGTCAGAGAAGCTGCCAATAAGCTTGTCATTCTCTTTCACAGCACCCTGTGTATTTCTTTTCCTGAACCACATAGACTAATTGTTTATTCTCTCTTCCCGAGTAGAGTGTAACCTTCTAGCAGGACCTTGTCTGTTTTGTTTATGGTTGCCCCTGTACCTAACACAGTACTTGGCATTTAATGTTGGCAAGTACCATGGAGTCTGTTCCAACTCAACAACTCAGTAATAGGGTTTCCAAGGAAATGCTACTTTTTGAACTGTCAGCCTTGAGATTAGTAGTTCACTGCTTATCCTACTAATAGGTACTTAGTAAATTCTGAATGAGTCAGAAATCCAACTAGCTTTGCAAACAGGGCTTGGCATAGAGGTATTCATTAGAGTGCTTGAGTTTGGAGACTGAAGAGGCAGATCCGACAGTGTTTTCTTAACTTTTGGGATGTGGGCTCCTGAGAGAGAACAAGTCATTTGAGGGCTTTTCCATAGAAGGCGTATAATGTTCACCCAGAGAACCTTTTTATTATCATTATCAAGTGATCTTTTATTGACTATTTTAAATGTTTTACTGTGAATTATGTGATAGCTTTACATTCATCCTATCGTATATCGTTTCATTGCCATGGTTACAAACCCCTCCATGCATCATCAGCCAACCAAAGGGTATACCCTGCAAGCCTGCCCCCTGGTTGTCAGCACATAGCCCCCCTCTCTCTCTCTCTCTTGGTCTGGAGTCCCCAGTTGCTCCATCTCTCCACATCATTGCCTCTGCCTCCATCTCTGGCGTCTTTGTTTCTCTGGGTAGGGTCCTGCACTCCGCTCTTCTCCCTTAGTGGTCCCAGGGACCTCCGCTCCTGGACTGCAAAGTCAGTCACTCCCCTCCTTTTGCTACAAAATGTATACCTTTACATTGCCAACCCTTGCAGTCAGTCCTGATAACAATTATTCACTAATTGAGTATTTTCTGTAGTTCTTAACTAGCTGAGCGTTCCACAGCACCTGGCATGGCACTATGGGTTAATGCGCTGGACTGCAAGGTCGGTGGTTCAAACTCACCAGTCACTCAGAAACCCTATACAGTGTTGTTATGAGTTGGAACGGTAATTAACAACAACCACAACTATTGATGTTATCTGTAATTTCATGAGGGTAGTGGACATCAACATTGAAGCTCACAGATTAGGCAGTCCCCAGGATCTCTTTAATAGTCCCACAGAGCTCGCTAGTGAAAAACTGGCTTTGTTTCTGATGGGCAAAGCTGGTAATCTCATCTAAAGTGATATTTCCGCTATGCTTAATATTTTTCTGCTTCTTTTTGTATCTGGGTGGTTCCTTGAGAGCTTTGATGATTAGGGCAGAGACAGAAGGCATCACATCAGTCTAAGCCTGTCTGTTCTGAATGGTTAGTGTCACTGTAATGAGTCACCAGTTGCCTTGGTAATGTCATCAACTTTTTTGGGAAACAAACCAAGGGGGCTGGTTTTGGGGGCCAGAGCCGATGTAACCCTGACTTCCCCATGACTTTGATTGTGTTGGGGTTGAACTTGGGGAACATGGCAGAGGTGGCTGGTGTCGGATGAACGCAGATGCTGGATTACCGAAGTTGCACCTACACCTCCTCTGAGCTGAGAGCCAAAAGTAAGAGGGTTTTGGATCTTAAAATCGTTAGTAATATAGAATAAAGATTCACACGAAATGAGTTTTGAAAAGACAGGCTCTGTAGTCCTTGGTGTCACCTCATTAACATAATAGGCAAGAAGAGAATCTATTGATTAGTTATTTTATTATACTTAACTGAAATGACTTCTGAAACTTGTTGGTTCCAAATGAACCACAGAATAAGGATTTCAAGTCTTCCCACTATATGGATCCCTCAGATGCGTTTGACTCCTTGACCAGTTTCATTTCAGTTAAACTTATATATTCACTGTGCATGACTGTTTTTTGTTGTTAAATGCCGTCGAGTCGGTTCCGATATATAGCGACCCTGTATAGGGTTTCAAAGGAGCCCTATTAAACTGGTGGTGTGTCTTGCCCTCCCTTTGCCCCCAAATCGTACTACCCACCTTGTAAGTCTTTCCTGAGTAGCTAGATCTGGTCATTTCACTCTACTAAAGCATTAGTGGGACCGGAGTTCTCTAAAGCACTTCACAGATTCTGGTAATGTTTGGATAATCTTGTTATATATCAGTATTGTTGTTGTTGTTATGTGCCATCGAGTCAATTCTGACCCATAGCGACCCTGTATAGGGTTTCCGAGGGTGTAAATCTTTACGGGAGTAGAAAGCCTCATCTTTCTCCTGCGGTGCAGCTGGTAGTTTCGAACCGCTGACCTTAAGGTTTACAGCCCGATTCGTAACCACTACGCTACCAGAGCTCCTTTATGTATTAGTATTAGCATATGCGATATACAGAGCTAATTACAGCAATGCTTTCCAGTGGTTACAAATTGTAACCAGTAGGTGAATTAATCAGTATGTTTCTTATTGGTTGTCAAGAAGTTTGAGAGCCACTGTATTAGTGGGTGGACTCCTGGTGTGGTGCTGTAGGATCAGCGTTGGACTGCCAACTGAGGTCGGCAGTTCATACCCACCAGCAGCTCCTTGGAAACCCTATACAGGATCTCTATGAGTCAGAACTGACTCGATAGCACTTAACAATATTAATGGATAGACATGCTAGGATTTTAGCGGTGGAATTTTACCAAAGGACGAATTGACTACTTTGAATCAGGCCAGTGCCTGAATTCTTGCAGAAAAGACTGTGTTCCGTCCTCTTATATAAGAATTCAGTGTTCACTTTGTCTGTAATTTGTGACTAGAAAGTCATCAATTCTGGCCAGGTCAGTGCCTTAGGAATATTTAGAGTAGGCATTCTTTGTATAAGGCTTCCTGAAAATTGACAGTGATTACTAAGAAGGAGCTCTGGTAGCGTAGTGGTTATGAATCGGGCTGCGAACCGCAAGGTCAGCAGTTCGAAACTACTAGCTGTTCCGTGGGAGAAAGATGAGGCTTTCTGCTCCCATAAAGATTTACAGCCTCGGAAACCCTATACAGGGTCGCTGTGAGTCGGAACCCACTCTACGGCACATAACAACAGCAACAACTAAGAAGTGAAGAGGGAGTGTGGATTATTTGCTGCTTTCTGACTGGAAGCTGGGAGGTTACTGGGGGGTGGGGGGGTGGAGTTAGCACAGACCTGTTGAGATGCGCTTTTAAATTTTGAGCAGTTTCTTTGCTTCATTTCCCCAAACAGATCCCTTTGGGAAAACAGACCATACAAGAAGAGAGTCTGGTGACATTTATTTGATGTAAATGGCTTTTTAAATTGGAAGAGGTTTTTTGAAGTTATTTTAAATTAAATATTGAGTAGTTGAAAATAAGTATCATAAGATATATGTGAGGCATAAAAAAATGACAAGATCATGAACACTCTTTACTCATAATTTAAGGAATAAAAAGATTTCTGTTATTTTTCAGAGGTGCCCTGGTGGTACTGTGTTTAAACACTCACCCAGTGGCTCTGGCGGTTTGCCTCTATGAAGAGCATAGTCTAGAAACCCTCTGGAGCAGTTCTCCTTTGTCACTTGAGGTTGCTTTGAGTCAGAATTGACTCATTGGCACCTAATAGTGATGTTGTTGTTAGGTGCCATCGAGTCGGTACCAACTTATAGCGACCCTATCTATGTACAACGGAATGAAACACTGCCTGATCCTAGGCCAACCTCACTACTGTTACCATGTTTGAGCCCACTGATGCTGCCACTTTGCCAATCCATCTTGCTAGGGGTCTTCCTCTTTTTCTCTCACCTTCCACCTTACCAAACATGACATCCTTCTCCAGCGACTGGTCCCTCCTGACAATGTATCCGAAGCATGAGAGATGAAGTTTGGCCATCCTGATCCCTTGTGGGTCTGTCTTCTTCTCATCCCTTGCCCTTCCCTCTTGAGATAACCACTGTTCTTCATTCCCGACTGTGCTTCTTGGTGTGATCCCTGAGGGATAATATATGAGGGGGGGCTTCAAAAAAACTCATGAAAAAAGTCCATTTTCTTTTGATTCCATTTTTCCGAGAACTTTTTGAAGCCCTCTCGTATTATTAGGCTTTGCAATATTTCAAATTTTACATAAATGGAATAATAATTTATATATTCTGTGATTGATTTTTATGCTCAACATTATTTTGTGGACTGATCACATAGTTATGTTTGTATGTAGCTGTGATGTACTCACTTGGTTAGAAGCTTTTCTGAATTCTTTTACCTTGGTCTTTTTCCCTAAATAAAGCATGTAAGAAACTGAGGCAGTATTATGGTACTCCTTTATCACACCACCTGTGCCTCTCTCTGTTCTCTTTTCTTCCTGGCCCTCCTCACTTGCGTTTACCTGAGAGAGCTATACCCAGATGCACCTGTGAGGCTCATTTGATCCTTTTAGAATTCTGGGACACTCTAAGCTCCCAGATATACTTACCAATTTATTCATTGTAGGTGTGCATGCTATATGCTGAATAGAAAACCAAAGGACTCTAGCTAGAAAGATCAAAAGGCTAATTTTTTCAAGTTGTTTTGATTCTTTTGTCAGTTTCTTGATTTTTTTTTTTTTTTGGTCATTTTCTCAGGATGTGAATAGGTCTGACAACCACACTGGTCCACAAGCTGCCCAGCCTGCTGTCCTCTGTAAAGCTTTGGCACCATGAAGGTCTTCTGTGGGCGGGCCAACCCGACCACGGGGTCTGTGGAGTGGCTGGAGGAGGACGAGCACTATGATTATCACCAGGAGATTGCGAGGTGATGTGTGTTGTTTCACAGTTGGCTTCAGTGGGACAGGCACTTGTTCTTAAAGCAGACACCTTGAACACTAATCTGGGTGTGAAGTAGGCTGCCACGCTGTGCTGATGGTTTTTCTTGAGGAGGTGGACTCAGCCAGGAATCCGGGAATGGGAGAACCTGGATGGAAGGGCCGGAGAAGTTTGGGTCAACATCACAGTCTCGTGGGAGCATATTTTAAAGTCTGTTTTCCTGATAGCTCTCACCTGGAACTCCCCTGAACGAGCTTTGGGTTGAGCTCACAGAGTGGCCCTGCCAGGAATTTTTCAAATTTGTGAATTTCTACCTAATACAGAGAAATAGTGCTCCCCGCTTTAACACTGTAGTTTGGTGAAGTTTGTGATGTCCGTTCACATATATGGCAGGTATACACTCTTCCCACTTTCCCTAGTATTACATCTGCCATTGCCCCAATGTATTAGTATATGCAAGATCACAAAAAGTATTTGGCAAATTGAGTCTGGGTTGTTTTTGAGAAAAATGTCCAGTGATCAGAATGCTCATGGCTGTGGAATTACTGTGATAGGGTTATCTACCAGAACATCTTTAGGCCTGGGGTTCTTTGCTGAAAATGAACACCTATCTCTGTTACTGTTCCCAGTCCCAGAGAATGACAGCTTATAAATCTATTCAAATAGTTTTCACATGGGCATAGATGACATGTTACTTCCATTGAATTAGGAATGCGTTTTTATTTGTGAATAGTCTCAGGTGTTGACGTATATCCTTAGCAGAAAGTTTCTGACTGTTTTTCTTTTTTTTTTTTTTTTAAGGTCATCCTATGCAGATATGCTGCATGACAAGGACAGAGTAAGTATAAAAGGAAACCATTATCTCTAGGGGGTTGTGAAATCTTCCTGTCACTCCCTCACCCTCCCACCCCTGGGTAAGATGTTAGAATGATGCTTAGAGGCAGTGTGGTGTAGTTTGGAGATCAGTCAGGGGCTGGGGCTACCTTTTAGCCTGCTGTGGACCTGAATGTGGCCTTGAAGAAAACATGTACCCTCTCTGGATCTCAGTGGTTCCAATTTCAAATGATCTTCAAGATTCTAGAAAAAAATTCTCTAATTACATGGTATTTCTTTCGTCTTATATAGTCAGTTTGTATTTTTTGAATCAAATCTCTTGAGGTCACTGCAGACTTTTTAAAAGTACAGGTCATCTCTATCACAGAATTACATTTCAGCACTTTCACATTTGAGTTTTATCGGGGCTGTCTTTTTCTGATTGACTTAGGGAACAGTGCAGGTCTGATCTCATTTGGCATGAATAACTACCCACTTTTCTGGTATAGGATAAGCACTGGGATGCTAACTAAAACCCTGCTTTGTAGGAGAAAGATGAAGGTTTCTGCTCCTGTAAAGATTAACAGTCTTGGAAACTCTCTCCAGGGTTGCTGTGAGTCAGAATTGACTTGATGGCTGTGCCTTTGGATCTAATCTAGTATGTACTATGTAGAATATGCCCCAGAACTGCTCAGAATGCCAGGATATCCTCTAATGAGAGTCAAGGACAGTGGAAACAACACCTCTTATAATCTGGACATCATGATTTTGTAGATGCAGTTTAAGATTGCCTTTGGAGTTGTTGTTAACTGTTGTCAAGTCGGTTCTGACCCATAGCGACCTTGTATAGGGTTTCTGAGGAGCAGTTGGTGAGCTTGAACCGCTGACCTTGTATTCAAACGGCTTTGCAGTCTGACGCATTAACCCACAGCGCTACACCAGGACTCCGCCTTTGGAGTGATGGTTAGATAAATCACACAGAGACATTGAGGTCACAAGTGTTTACCCTGAATTCATGTTTAGTTACTTTATTATAAATGTGCTGTGCGGTATCAATCTAAGCAATCCCTCAGCTCTACAGCCAAAGCTTTCACTGGAAATTTATTTTGCTGTACATAAATAAGCCCTGATGTGGCGCTGTAGAATAAACACAGAATAAACTGTAATGTCGGCAGTTCAAACCCACCAGTCGCTCTTGGGAACCCTACATGTGATTGCAGGAACTTGGGGCAGGGAGCAGTAGGGAGAAACTCTTTAATGGGTTAGGAATCTTTGGAATGATAAAATGTTTTAGAACTAGATAGAGGTGGTGGGTGCTCAACCTTAGTCACTTTAGAACAGTTTTATGTTATGTGAATTTCATCGTGATAATTTATTGAAGGAGTCCTGATATGGTGCTGTAGGATAGGCACTGGACTGCTAACAGGAAGTTAAGTGGTTCAAACCCACCATCCGCTCCTCGCAGGGTCGCTATGAGTGGGAACAGACTCCATGGAACTTAGCAGCAACAACTTATTGAGAAAAGCAAAACAGCCCCCTGGTGTATTGCTTCCTCTAAACAAAACCATTTTATACTTTACCTCAGAGGCAGCCACATTTCTTCATCTTTGGTTGTTTATGTTTAAAGTCCATATCTAAATAGCTATTGTCTACTGATTTCTCACTGTGAGAGCTGAGAATTTGGTTTCCTTTCAGCCCCTTCCAATTCATTCCCCTTTCTTCCCAATGAAGTTATAATTTCTGTCAAATCAATATTTAGTGTTTCAGTGGACAAGTTACTTTGCATCTTTTTTTTTTTTTTAAGTTTTTATTGTGAATTATGTGATAGTTTATGTGGGAGAACACCAGCTTTACATTCATCCTTTCATATTTTGTTTCATTGCAATGATTGCAATCCCCTGCATGCACCATCAAGCATCCAAAGGGTACACCCTACAAGCCTGACCCCCGCTGTCAGCAGACAGCCCCGTTCCCTCTGTGAGTCCAGAGTACTCAGCTGCCCCGTCTCTCCATGTCATCGTCTGTGCCTCCATCTTTGGTGTCACTGTTCTCTGCATAGGATCCCGCACTCTGCTCTTTTCTCTTGATGGTCCCAGAGACCTCCACTCCTGGACTGCAAAGTCAACCACTCCCCTCCTTTTGCTATAAAACATCTACCTTTACATTTCTCACCCTCACAATCAGTCCTGATAGCAATTACTCACTATTGTATTACAAGATTCTATCCCCATCTCCTTTTATCAGCCCCATCCCAACAGATTGGAAACCACTCAGTAGATGTTCTACCTTGCCCTGTACCCTCTGGAACTAGGCTCCCCCTTGAAAGCTTGTAAGCCAGTCACTTCTTGCCTTTGTAGCCCCCCCCCCCCCCATTTTGGGTAGCCAATGTCTAAGTTGCCCATCCCTGTCAACCCTGTATACCAAGGGATTGGGACTGATCCTCGCTGTAAAGATTAGTTCCCTCTTTTGAGCTGCTACATCCATAGGTGTAGGTCAAGTTCATCAGATTGTAGCAGATTACTCTTTTTTTCCTCTTGTTTTTCTAGTCGAGTTCTGATCATCCAGCTATGGAAGCCAGGTCAAGTGGGTACTATCTGCATTTCCCCTCACTTCATATCAACTGGACGCTTCAATCTCCACTGTAGTCCTCTGTGGCCATGTCACTACCTCTGGGTCCAGGAGTCCCTAGGTCTTGCCATACTGCTGGCCAACCAGGTCTCTACCCGGATTCACAGGAGTCTATTGAACGTCGTTGGACTTAGCTCGCAACTTCATTGCTGTTTTTCTCACACTTCCCCTTACCAGTGACCAATGTGGTCACCAGCCAGACCGCATGCCTGCTCGTATATTCCCCTTGAGTCTTAGTTTTGGGAAGGGGGTTTACCCTGAGGGGACCTGACCACTTGCCTTGCTGGCTCCCAGGAGGACAGCAAGCTTGCTTGTTCTTATAGTAGTCAGCTGGACTGCTGTTTATTGTTTCTGATTTGGCCTGCTGGTCTTTCTTTCAAGAAGTAGCTTCTGTTCTTTTAGCCCCTCCAGACTGGTCTACTTGTCCTTTCAAGTGGGAATTTCCCACCTCAGAAGATTCTGGATGGGATTCAGGATTCCATCTATGGTCTTATGCAGTGCAAAGGCTCCTCAGGAAACCTCTCACTGGGCAAGTTCTAGCCCCCTTTTAGGTGTTCCAATCAGTTACAGGCTTAAGATGGACTTACAGGCTTTCCGTTTTGATGTTTCTGGCTATTCCTTTCTTTCCCTCTCAAGTGTCTATTTCACAATGATAGGCAAGGGAAACCAAGATTTGAAAGAGCCAAGCATCTTAGCATTATTTTCCCTCTTTTACTGATTCAAACCATGCCTCAATCCCTGTATCCCAGAGCCCTGTTGTTCCAAGGTTGTGCATATGTCATTATTTACCGCTGACCCACTTAGCCCATGCAAACCTGCCTAACTGTTCTCCCATCTGCCTTGTTCTTTCATTCTCCTCCCCCTTTCTTGTGTATTGCCCCCCCCCCCAGCACCCAAGCTATCCTGTGTCTATACTCTACCCTGTGCTCCATTCTCCCCTCCCTCCCCTAACCTCATCCTATACATCCCAGTGATCAGCAAAGATTTTTTTTTCTCCCCCTTTTAGGGTGGGTTCTTTTTCTTAATCTTTTGTAGTAATGGTCCTATACAGTATTTCTCCTTTTGTGACTGACTAATTTTACTCAGCATAATGTCCTCAAGGTTCATCCATGTTATGTGGTAGCTTGAAGCTTCCTTGTTCTTCAAGGTAGCATAATATTCCATTGTGTGTATGTACCACAGTTTGTTTATCCATTCTTCCATTGATGGGCACTTAGGCTAGCTCCATCTTTTTGCTATTTTAAATGGTGTGCTATGAACACTGGTGTGCATATATCTTCTTGTGTTATGGCTCATATTTCTTGTGGGTAAATAACCAAGTAGAGGAATTTCTGGATCATAAGGTATTTCTATTTCCGACTTTCTGAGAAAGTGCCATATTGCTTTCCAGAGTGGTTGGACCATTTTGTGATTAATCCCTCCAGCAATGCTGGAGGATTCCAGTCTCTCCGCATACTTTGCCTCTTTGTAACTCAGTTTGCTCAACTCCAATATTAATAGGAATATTAATAGGAAAAGAAGTTCTGGTAGCGTAGTGGTTACGAATCGGGCTGCTAATCCCAAGGTTGCCAGTTCAAAACTACCAGCTGTTCCGCGGGAGAAAGATGAGGCTTTCTGCTCCCATAAAGATTTACAGCCTCGAAAACCCTGTGCAGGGTCACTGTCAGTCAGAACCGACTCCATGGTACTTAACAACAACAATAAAAGTAGGGGTAACAGTAGTACCTTCTTAAAGCACTGTTCAGAGGCTTACATGGGTTAATATTTGTAAAGCACTTATGTAGGTATGTGTTGTGTTACTAAAGTTTACCTAAGTAGGACTGTGTAAATATTATTCATAGTTAACCTATATGGGCAAATACTCTGATGACTTTTTCTTTCTTGCATAACTCTTTGTTAATAATTACTTTGCTTTCTATGTATGCATCATTCTCTTATGCCCAAACCCTTCCCCAGTTTCTAAATTTCCTTTCAGGATGGTCAGACACATCAGCTGTTTTATTTTCATGGAGAATGTTTTCAGCATCACCTTGACCTACTCTGGTTTGGACTGGTGGTTCTTTATACCTGCTGTGTATGTTTGTCCTGGGATCCTTGCTCATCGTCCTGTGGATCTCTTTCATTTCTGTTTTATACTGAGTCTTCCTGGAACCCTTCCTTGCCTTCCTCCCTGTTGGCTTATTCCCTCTTGTGAGGATGGATGAGAGGTGTCTTAGTTATATAATGCTGCTATAACAGAACTATTACGCATGAATGACTTTAACAACCAGAAATTAATTTTCTCACAGTTTAGGAGGCTATGAGTTGGAACAGACTGAATGCATTTAACAACAACAACAACTTTGCAATGTGAATTAAAACATTATTATTATTGTGCCATTATGTCAATTTGTATCT